ACTATGAAATACAATAATAAACAAAAGGGACTTAAGTAATTTTTTATTGTATTGCAGACTGTCATAGTCATATTATTAACAGAAATAATATCTAGGTAAAGTGAACATTTCAAAATTAAAAATTTCGTAGCTCTTGGCAAAAAATCAATTTACCGTAAAGTTGTTTTTTTGACATATGCCAGTTCTCAATTAAACCATCACAAAATCCCACATGTATACATACAAGTATATATACAAGATATCCATATCAGTTATCCACTGGATATCCAGTGGATATACATTAGATGTACAGTGGATATACTTTAGACATACATTAGTTATCCATTGGATATATATTAGAGATACTTTGTTGAAATTGGTTTAATAACGATTTAAATCATATTTATTAATCATTACATAAACTTATCCTATAAGGGGCTATTTTAAAAAAGAAAAAAATATTTTAAATTTTTTTTGAACATCCAGTATGGATATCCATTGGATATCCAATGGATATCGTGTTCTGTGTGGGCAGATGCTTTTTTAGAATCTCACACTGGGAATTCCCAATTGAATTCATTTGTAAATTACCTATAAGCTTGAACCAATCGAAACCACTAAAAAACAGTAGAATCCTAATTGAACTTTTCCTTATTTTAAAATATTGGGAATAACCTAACAGATTCCTTTATAGAATCTTACACCGGGAATGCCCAATTGAATTCAATTGTAAATTACCTATTGGTAGCTTTAACCAATCGAAAAAACTAAAAAACAGTAGAATCCTTTTTTCCATCATGGAAAATACCAATACCTACTTAAAAACCAATTTCTGTTTTATATCGCTCCCAATTAAACCCAGTAAGTCCAATTCAGACCTATTGATACCAACCAATACTTCAATTGGTTTCTATAAGGAATTAATCGGTCATTTAATTACATTGTTACAGGGATGTTACTATAAGTTTAATTCGATTTCAATGTTTTTACATGGAGAACTTGAGAAAATAAATTTTTGTACGGGTACGGCCCGATAGAAAATTTATAGCAAATTACTAATAGGTACACCATAACTTTTACATTTTCCCTATTGATACCGATAGCAAATAACTCAATGAAGGATATATACGGATATCTCTATAGAACAATCATAAAACATTTGACAAAATTTTATTAAAACGGCAATTTCAAGCGGATGGACGGGACAAATCACAAAACTGTTTTTATAAAAAAAATTGTAGCTAATTTATTTCATATTATTTTTGCATCAAAATTGTCAAAAAAATTCTTCTATTATAAGGGTATGCATTAAATAAAAAAAATCGCAAGAAATATTTGATAAAAGTAGAGATAATTTCAATAATTGACAGGGATGGACGGGACAAGATAAATCTTTTTTTTTGTCCCTTTCCACACCTTTCAATTATTAAAATTATATCTACTTTCATAAAATATTTCTTAAGTTTTTTTTTTATTTAATGTATAACCTAATAAAAGAAGAATCTTTTTGCCAATTTTGATGCCAAAATATTATATAATAAATAATCTACAATTTTTTTTATAAAAAACAGTTTTGTAATTCGTGCGTTTCGCGCGCTTGAAATGGCCGAAAACCTGGGGTCCTATAGGGAAAAACAAATTTCTACATTTATGTGTATTTTCCCTATTGAAACCAATACCAAATAAATCAAGGGTGGATATCTTTATAGATAAAGTGACCATCCGTCCCGATTTAGGCGGGACAGTCCCGATTCTGAGCTAAGGGTCCCGATTTAATAAGCGTCCCGCTTTTGTCCCGCTTTCAATAAATTCAGACTATTAACTTTTACTCTAATTGTTTAGAATATTTAAGCCAGTACAGTAGTAAAAAAGCTCCGACATGGGAACAAGTACAAACAAGTTTTGAGTTTCTTTTAAAAAAATTCCCCAAATGCACCTTAGTTTAAAATGATTTATTTGATGAGACTCAATATGTTCATAATTATGTTTCTGAGAGTAAACTTATTTTTTGGAGTGAGCAAAATACTCCCACAGATCAAAAATGGGTGGAAATGTTTAGTCATTTCGGTGAAAATAACATTCCTTTCAATAATATTTTAAAATTAGTACAATATATATTATGCTTACCCGGTACAAACGCTTCTACCGAACGGGTTTTTTCTATGATTAATAAAATTTGGACCTCCGAAAAAACTAATTTGTCTGTAGAAACTTTAAAAGCTTTAGTGACTATTAAATATAATTTTAAAGGAGACTGTATGATTTAAAAAATAAGCCCCTATTAAAAAAATTCATCAAAATGAAAAATATAAATAAAAATGTTTTAGGTATTAAAAATTTAAAATCAGAATACTGATGGTCGTTTTTACTTGTAGTTTAAAATTTGTTTTTTTTTGTATTTCATTACATATTTTGTATAACTACTTAGTATTTTTTATTTATCACTACCCTAATTCTAAATTGAAAATAAAAACAAGATTTTTGACCATTTTGTAACTTTGTCCCGCTTTTGGACTTTTAGGATCTGGTCACTTTACCTATAGAACAACCATAAATCCCAACTATGGGTCCTATACATACCGATACACCGTATAGAAACCCCATACATTCCGATACAAATATCTATCGGTTTGAACAGGGTCTCTATGGGGTATTTTAAGCAGGGTTTGCATAGATTTTTTTAAATCGCTAATATATTATATGTTCTATAGGGATATCCACCCTTGATTTATTTATATATAAATTATTTAAAATTGACTCTTAAAAACTGACATAGTAGGCCATGTATTTCGTAAAAATATGTTTTTTTCTAAAAATACAGTTTATCAAAATCTACACTTTGAAACAAATCCGGTTAAAATCGCACAATAAACAAAAATTTTATAGGAGTGAGTGTTTGCGACTGGGTCACACTGTATATATACATACATGAGATTATTTTAAATACAGTAAACGCTGAAACACGTGACGTACGTCAACGTTGTTATTTTTCTAGCAATATGTTAGCCTATGTAGTTGTTCCAAAATCTGCCGCGTGGCGGCGCCACAATCAAGCTCTGTTTTATTTAAATTACAACCCTTAATGGTTTTGTTGCATTTTTGGATAGCTACCGTTGTCCTGATTACATTGATGTGCCACATCTGGAGATTTTTTAGAAAAGCAGGTTTTGTTGCCGAATTATATTTTGGTATTTTGTCAAACTTTAACACAATCTATGCGTTCCTTAATGTATTTTGGGAAGCCAATCAGAGCAGTTGCTCAAAGTGTAAAATATTTGGAAGTGGGCCAGCCTGTCCACAAACGAGAGTTGTACGTTTGCAAGTACCGCTGGAGTGATCATCTGGATCTCGGCTTGAATGCGTTGTCTTAGCTGGTCCAAATTTTGATGCCTATTTACATAGACGCGGTTTTTAGGATGTCCCCATAAAAAGAAGTCTAAAGGGGTTAAATCGGGTGATCGCGCTGGCCACACGATTTGACCCCTTCAACCTATCCAGCGATTGGGGAAGACCTGATTTAAATAATCCCTTACTAGCTAGCAATGCATAGTGTGGTGGTGCCCCGTAACAGCGAATAAGTTCGTCAAAATACCAAAATCTCAATCGGCGGTAAAAACCTACTTTTCTCAAAAATTTTCTTATGTAACCCTCCACATGTAACATATCAATGTTCTCAGGACAACGGTAGCTATCCAAAAGTGCAACAAAAATAAAGGGTTGTGATTTAAAAAAAACTTACTTAGATTGAAGCGCCGCCACGCGGCAGATTTTTGAACAACTACTTAGGCTAAAATATTGCTAGAAAAATAACAAAGTTTTCTTATGTAACCCTCTACATGTAGCATATCAATGTACTCAGGACAACGGTAGCTATCCAAAAGTCCAACAAAAATAAAGGGTTGTGATTTAAAAAAAACCTTACTTCGATTGGGGCAGATTTTTGAACAACTACATAGGCTAAAATATTGCTAGAAAAATTACAAAGTTGACCTGTTTCAGAGTTTAAAAAAAAAATTACCGTTTTCAAAATAATCTCATGTTCCGGGACTGTACCTATATTAGGCTGGGCCGAAATAATTATTTTTGGAAATCTCACTTGCCTTAGTTAAAAAAGTTATGAGAAGGGTATTTGTATAAACTGTTTTTTATTTTAATTTTTAAAAATAATTTTAGCCGCGCCCCCGGGGGATTGAAAGTTTTTAAAATTAAGACAATTTTTTTTAACTTACATTTTGAATTTGGCATATTGAAAAACTATAAGGATTAACTCACTTGTAACACAAAAAAAAATCCTATTAAAATATTTTAATTTTAAGCCCCGCCCCCAAGCTTTTTAAGTTCTAATATGCAGCTCTTCGATAAAAAAAAAGCCGTGGGGTGCGGTGTAAAATTAAAATATATAAATAATTTTTTTGTGTGTCTTAAGTAAGTTAATACCTAATAGTTTTTTAATATGCCAAATTCAAAATTTAACTTTAAAAAATATTTTTTATTGAATTTTAAGAAATTTTAACCCCCCGGGGGCGCGGCTAAATTTGTTTTTAAAAATTTGAAAAAAAACAGCTTATTTTTGTAGGTACCCTTCATACAACTTTTTTTAAGCCAAGTGAGATTTCCAAAAAAAAAAATGTTTTGCCTTTTTCGGCCCAGCCTACTGTATATTATATTTATTTATTTGTACATACCTACCTGCTAGATTTAATGTTCCCCTAAATGTACCAAGTAAATATTTTTCTTTGCATCCTTGTTGGTTTTTATTAAATGATTATTATTAAATATTAGTAAGTATTTATTTAAAATTCATTAAATACAATTTTTTAATACTCGCAAAAAACTAAAAAAAAAAATCCAGAAATTTTACAAATTAATTTTTTTTAAATAGATTTATGTTATTAGGTATGGTAAAGTTATGTAATTAAGTACATTAAGTTATATTAATCATCAAAATAAAAAAATATGTACTTAGATACTTATTCATAAAATATTAAATTTTTTTTTTATTAAATAAATATTAAAAACTTAAAACAAATTAATATCAGTCTTTATTGAAGAGAATAAAGTAAAATATACATACAAATTTAATGAGCTAAAATAACAATTTATCTACAAAACATATTTAAGGAAATTTTTATGTTTGGATAAAGCCTCTATTAACTGCAAACCCAAATATTATTGAGGCAGCACTTAATATAATTATGGCAATGGCAGTGTATGAAACATCATCATCATTAACAGATTTAATTTTTTCGTCTTTCTTTAAATATTTCGATTCAACTGAAACATCAGGTAAATATTTGGCATCGATTCTCTTAACAAACATTGTTAAATTAGGCCACAGGTTAAACAGATTTTTAAATTCACTAGATGGAAAAGGAAGTTTTATAAGTGGGGCTATATAACTATACACAATAATGTCCACAGTTGTAGGGGTGCTTCCAAAAAAGTAGTCCTGCTTTCCTAGCCTTGAAGAAAACGATGTCAAACACTGTGTAGCTGATTTAATCATAAAGTTTTTAATAATTTCTACGTTTGTATCGTTTGGGTACAATGCCTCCATTAAATCTGCCACTTTATTCTTCTCTCGTCTAGTATGCATGAAATTAAATGGTAAAGGTAGTGCTCTCATGTACCACATCGTAGTGAAGTCTTCAGAGTTTCTAGCATCCATCCAAAAGAAAAAATCCACGACAGGTCTTAGCTTAGAGTTTGCTAAAGTCGTTAATGCCAACATTTCACTGCACTGCTTCGGGCTCAAAGATTGGTCAATATTATAGTTCTTAGTTCTTAAGTACGACACAATTTCACTGTAATTTGTCGAGACAACCTTCTTGTTGATTAAACTTGGGGCCGTGTACCTAGCACATTTTCTTATACTGTTTAAGAGGTTAATTTTTACCGGCAATTTCGCTAATTTTGCCAACAATATCGATTGGATACATTCTGGGTCAAACGAAACGAGGCCGCAATCCCCTTCGAACACATATAACTGGAATTTGTCGGTTTCAGTCATTTTTAATAAACATTTAGCAATATTTATGTAACAATTTGATAAAAATAAGGATTTACGGAAGCTGGACTTTTTAAGGTTACTTTGACATACCGATAATTTTGCGTTAGGGAACTGTATTATCGATCCGATGGAATGCGCAGGCCTAGAAAGCGGGCATTTGAATTTAAAAAAATACAAAAACATGCACGATTTGGTTTTATATTTATTATGTTTAATAATTAGCAGAGACATGTTTATTGTAAAAAATATGAAAACAATTTATTTGAATTAAATAGGTTTTGGTGGAGATTTAAAATGGGTAAAATAATAACAGATAAATTTTACTAAAATAACAACATGTTATAAAATAGAAAAACTTTTAAATTTCAAATTTTAAATTTTACCTATAAGTACCTACACGGTTGAAAATTTTTATGTATTTTTAACATATTTCTTGTGTACCAGAAAGTCCACTCAAAAATTTTTAGTTGAATTGACTTATTTCACTAAGTCTTATGTTAATTGATTACCTACACAACATACCTAATATGTAAAAAAAGTGAATATAACTTTTCTTTTTAGCATAACTGCAAAGTTAATTTAACAAACAGGTTTATGCTATTTTTATTAAAATAAAATTGTTGTTTTAACATAAACCAATATACCTATTGGTATATATATATATGAACTATAGTTCATTTGATTTTAAATCTTTATAATTTTGACATTATTAAAAATGTTAAATTTATTTACACAAAAAAGTGTTACTTCAACATTTATCATTTTGTTACTTTTACACTAATTATATGTCCTTTTTACATATAAATTTTACAAAAATAATTGTTTTTTCATTTTAAGGCCATTCCGGAAAAAACGTAACGTCAGTTACTGTTTAAGCCAATATCTTGAGAAAAGTTTTTTTCATAAAAAAACAAGGTGTCCTACACACTGAAAAATGTGAAGCTATACCTAGCTTTACATTTTTCAGTGCACCTATTTTTGTAAAATTTAATTAAAATAATTGTTAAAACAAATTAATTTATGTACTTAATATACTGTACGTTATGTAACACTTTTAACAAAAAATAATTTACTTTTCTTGAGAAATTTGGACCTTAAACAACAAAGAATTTTAAGCATTTCCCAGAATCGCCGTTTGGTAAAACACTTATAAATTAATACAAAAAATTGGACAAAAAATAAAACAATTATATAAAATAGGAACATTTTTATTTATTAAAAATAAAACGTAAACAAACATAAATATAATATACAAAGTATACCTTTAAATTCAGTTTAACAAATTAACACACCACATATATATCATACCCTACGTACTCATCAAGCGACTAATCTGCTTCGACTGTCAAACACAGATCTGTTCGAACATCTGTCAAAGTTTGACAGGCTTCGAGAACAAAAGGCCTTCGGGGGGGTACCGGTCTTAGTCGAAAGCAGGCGGTAATTAACGAATAAAGAAAACAACATAAATATTTTAGTTACTTAAATTTAACGAAAAAATAATAATCAGTTGTTTAAATTTGAATAAACAAAATTGTATCTCCAAATTTAACATATATTTTTAAGTTAGATCCCAGCAAACAGAAAGACGTCATTAAGACGTCAAAATGTCGTCGCTGCAATGACGCACTGACGTCAATAATCGACGTCTTAAAGACGAGTTGTCGACGTGCTTATGTCTCATCCTAATGACGTCATCCAATGACTAATTTAAGACGTCATCCAATGACTAATTAAAGACGTCTTTATGATGACGTTTATTTGACGTTAATTGTACGTATAGGGGGGGAAGGGTGGTGGTTACTGAAAAAACGTAGGTAGTAAAAAATAATTTATTTTAATAAACATAAACAAAATTTATGGGCTGATTCTGTGCAACCTGTAAGCAAATAAGTAACTTTCATGCAGGTAGTTTATAAAATGCTAATTAAAGTACAAGTTAAGGGTTTTTAATATAAGTACTAACAGCTTTATTAGTTACAGCAACTGGAATATTAACAACAGAGATTAACAAAGAGCACTACTTACTATTTTTTGGTATTAATGCGAACACAAACACTATAATGGCCGTTATAACGGCATATAAAAGACAACAAAAGTTACAACAGGAAGCCGGTGCTATGTGCTTATGGGAAAGGGTGACGTGTACAGATATAGCCAATCCAACCTCCATATCTCGTGTCACGTGTAAACTGACTGTTGCCCAATTGGAGACTCAGTCAACCAGTAAATATGATTTAAAATCATGTTTAAATTTGAAATTAACCGATTTTATCTAAATGTTTAATTAAACGTTACGGTAAACAGTGTGACCATAAAAACCTGCCAAATTTTGTTTGAATTTACCTACATTACATTAGTTACAAAAATCAACAGTAATTAAGTAACGTCAAATTGATAATTAGCATTGTTAATTGTGTCATTTTTTTAGTGAAGGTAAATTTGGCAGGTTATTATGGTCACACGAACGGTAAATACCTTTATATATATATATATATAAATATATATATGCCGTTGATGACGTGCACCCATACAGATTTGGCCGTGACTATATATATATTTAAAATATAATATATTTAAAATAAATAAAAGGTATTAGATTTGTGCGTACAATAGCGGTCTTATTATGACGTCTTATATTCGTCTTATTTTGGTACCAGAGAGTTCGTACAAAAACCGTCATTTAATGACGTCCTAAATTCGTCTTATTTTGGTACTTAGCAACCTTTTTTTTTTCTACTGGTATGGAACAATATTGGTCACAAAAGTGTCCATTTATATTCGTCTTACTTTGATACTTACCAACCTGGTTTTTATTCTACTGGTAAGGTACAATACGAGTCACTAAAATGTGGTCTTATATTCGTCTTATTTTGGTCCTTAGCAACTTTGGTACATGGATGCCCAAAAAAAGACGTCCTGCCGACGTCACTCGTCATTAGTCTGTTTGCTGGGATTAACACTTCCTAGACAGCACATATATCCATTGGATGTCCAGCGGACGACCATTGTACATCCAAACGTCCAATGTAAGTCCATTTGACGTCCAATGGACATCTTGCAAGCACATGTGCTGTATGGGTTGTTAAAGAGTCATTATAACTAATGTATTTTTTATTATATTATATATTATATTATGAAATATTAACATATTTTTTTTGTAATATTAACTATATTATTATATTAAAATTTACAAAAAACAATTATTTAACAAATTTATTTTTGTTAAATTTTAGAATTTTGGTTATTTTAATTTGTACATCAAGTAACATATATTGTTAATGTCATAAACATTAAAAAGTTTATGTAAATTTGTACATATTTTATTTAACACACATTATTTTTAACACACATTTTATAAATTTCTAACAGTGGGAAAAAGGGAAGGTGCCAAAAGTTATGCGAAACACTTAAGTACCGTATTTTCATTTTTCCTGTTCGGTTTTTAAGAGTGGAAGAATAATTTTTAAGAGTGGGAGACGCCGAGGCTCTCGGACCGAGAGACGGTTTTTGTAACTCAGCAGTGTTGGCAGAGGTGGTACATTTGTACCTTTTTGGTACATTTGGTGCTTTGGTGGTACAGAAGTTTTTTAAATTTCGAAACAATTTTAATATTTTGCACATTTTTAATAAAGTTGGTCCTTTGTTTTCTTTACTTTTCGGTCATTTCCTAGAATTCCGCTTCCTTTCTTACAATAGCGTTATTAAAATCGTCTATCTTTATTTGTTTTATTTTCATATTCGTCTGTTCGCAACACGGCGCTATATTTACTTTTGAGGAAAAAACGAAAAAACGAAAAACCTAAAAACGTTTTTTTTTTATTTCATTTAAATGAGACGTACATATTAGGCCCTAACTAAGCTAGGGAAACTTGGTTCATTTTAAAAGTCAAATTTGGTACTTTATTTCTCCAACCACTGGCAACACTGTAATTCAGTAGTAGACACTTCACCGGCTATGGGTGATAGTCAAAGTTTGCTCTGAATTATTAATACGAATTACGCATTATTAAGTTAATTTACTTTTAAAAATGATTTTGATTATTAAAATGTACCTAACGTACCTAATCACTTTTAACAGTAAATAATTAATTAAAGGTGCATTTAACTAAAAGTGTTTTCTTATAAAAAAAAGCATAAAAAGTTTTCTTTAAAAACTAAAATAAAAAAATAAAATGATTGTCTTGAAAACAAATTACCTAATATAAAATAAATAAATCAATTCTCTTAAAACAAAATTAAAAATCAAACTTAAAATAAATAAATGTGTGTTATTGTTCTAATTGACGGAATAGAATGATCCGGATATTTAACTGAGAATAGGTATCTTGTTTGACGTAGAGAATTGCCCACTAAAGCCCAGCTTATCATGTCAAAAATAAATTAAAACGCTATCGATAACTATCGATAGTTTTCTACATAAAAGCATTCCCAAATAAGCCCCGAACCAGTATAATATTCTTATATACTTATAAGTATATATATATATACATCCCGCCTACAATGCTGCGTCAATACATTATGAAATTTGCATTCAATGCTGCGTCAGGTGTAATGCTGCGTCGTATATTGACGCAGCATTACATTTAAGGTTTATTTTACTGGTGACGTCACGACAATCCTACACACCGATTTTAAGGGTGACGCAGCATTGATGGTTTTTTGTAAAATACGTGTATATTGAAGTTTGGCAGTTTGCCGCAAGGGTGCGCTTTTAAATTTGGTGTATATTGAAAAAGTGAATATTTCTTTTAAACTTACGGTAAACCTGCATCAAGTGAAGCTGACAACAATGTACGACGCAGCAACGTCGATACAATGTACTTAATATTATTCGACACATAAATAATTTAAGATCGTTAAACGAACGCAGCAATGCTGCGTCACATGTGTTAATGTGAATTTTAGAATAATTGTTTGGTAGCCAGTTTGTTTTATAAAATTATTATTGCCAAGTTCCTTTTAATAATTATATCTATAACTTTAAGAATAAAAAAGAGTAAAAATAGTATTATTTGTCCCGTTTGTAGGGCCTCCAGCCCAGGGATGGGAAACTGACGCAAAAATTGCGTTTATTAAATTTTATACATTGACTATTTAGTAAA